TTGAGGAGAATGATAAGCAGAGAGACTCTCTGCATCTCTCAGGTATTACTTTAAATGCCTCTAGCAGATGGACAGCATTTTTTGTTTTCTTCTCATCTGTGAAATTATATGACCCTAATTCACCCCTAATTGTGGTTTGTTGCATGGAAATGGTGCATATTAATTTGTATTTATGATACCACTTCTCCATCACTCTTCTCCCAGTAAGCATAAGAAAAGCGAACTCTCCCAGAACCATCCACAGCATCAGGCAGAATAAAGTAGCACTTAGCAGCACATTAGGGAGACTTTTGGTGATGTCTGCCCACAGTTCTCCTGAGCCCAACTGTACCTTTTAAATGTCAATTTACCTGAATAAAACACAATATAAATGTTAATGTTTCCTGAGACCCATTTCACTGCAAGATATGTTTCAGAATGGACAAAGCGCTGGCAGAAATTCCTCTCTTTTTACTATTACAAGCATTTCTCTGGCTTCTGTGAGGTGATTTAGTGTAAATTAAAGCTGTCCTTGGCTCTTGGAGCTGGCCATAATATTGTTTTTGGACATTTATTGTGTACAGTGATAGACACTATGAATGCAGGAAGGGCTTCTTTAATGCTATTTCTTTCTTTGACTGTTTTCTCCACTCATGCAGCTTAACTCTCTTTAACCTTACCTCTATTATTCCTTCTTTCCTACAGACCCAAAGATTTGTACACTGACTCCTAACGGGCACCTGGACTTGTCCCCAATGTCTGCTGCTCTTTTTCCAGGAGAGAGGTTGACCTTGACTCTCAACTCCAGGAAGAATAGTGTTATTTCTCTTGGCAGAGCCAACCTGGAGCAAAGGGCTGTGGTAGGTGGAAAAACCTGTACTGTAACTGCCTTATTAATTATAGGGACATGAATATGCAACAGCAGTTTTCCTTTTTCACCTCAGCTACTTGTTCAGTTAAATGCAGTGGCACTTGATTGAAAGTTTAAGTATGACTGCGCTCATTGAAGTATTTCATGTAACCAGTAGCACATTGTTTTATTATGCTTGATTCTGTTTATTTTTTGTTAGTAATCCAGACCCTTTCTCTTTCTCAGTACCCAGGTCGGAGTTACCACAACTGGGGCCGTCCCCTCCCTCCTCAGCCTCAGACCTTGTGCGCCCGTCGCTCCAGCTGGAACAGCCTGGGAGGAGGCCAACCCTGCTCCTCTTCATCCCCCTCTGCTAGTCCAATCTTCACCCCCACCTCTGCAAGGCCCTTCTCTGGCTATGGCCTCGGGGGTCTGGGAGGGGTGGTTGGGGGGAGTCTTCGTGTTCGGGGGCCGCCCGCCTCGTCATCGCCGCAGCAACATCTCTATCGTGCTCACCCAGACGAGGAGGAGTCTCTCCTCTCACCTCCTGCTGTTGCCCCCCAAACTCTTCACCTTCCAGACCATTTTGTACCCAAGAGGGACCGTAGAGCTTTGTCACTAGAGCTGCCCCACCAGCTGCAGGTCCCAGGAGCCCAGCTCCCTCCATCACCACCACACCACCCTCTGCCACGCCTCATGCTTAATGCCCACCACAGGAAGAAGAGCTTCTCTGGGGGGATGGTAATCAGTGGAGGTGACAGTCTGGGTGGCTTAGCAGGGGTGCATCAAGATTGCAATGGGAAGACCCCACTGTCACAGCTTCTCCAGCCCCCTGCTCAACACCAGAGTGAGCAGGTGGGAGGAGTAAACCCCCAGAGCCAGCTGATGGCTGACGTCTTCCCGCAGGTTAACGCACGAAGCAAGGACCGAGAGGACCTGGACGACGACATTGACTATGTAGGTTACTATTATGTGTGTGGGGGAGGTTAGGGAATTAAATGATAATATCATTCAGAAAAATAATGAAGAAAGGTTATGCAATCCTGTAATACACAGTCGGACTCCACAGATACAGATAAGCATCCCTAAGACTGACACTACACTGCACATAACAGTAACACATAATAACCAAACCATTAGCATTTCTGTTAAAGTACAAGATTTTTTACATGCAATTATCTCCTGCTCTCCTGTGTAGGATTTTCAAGTACTTTGTGTAAAGCCTGCACTCCCTATCACCTGGGCCTCATGGGAGTCCCATTGTTTTCATTGTAAACAAGTCTGTGTATGAGAGAAACAAGGTTAATTAGAAAGGACTATTTAGACAGCAGGGGAGAGAGTTGTACAGATGGTAATGTTGGAGGATGCTCCAAGCTGTTGCTACAGAGGTGTTTCACCTTCGTAAATAATTTAAATAGAGCTTAAAAAGGCGGTTTTCCACTGCGAGTCTGTCGTTTTGTGTTTATTGCACAGTTATACTGAGTATGGTGTACGGGCTCTGCTTGTTTGTGCTTGTGTGCACATGATGTCCGTTAATATATTTATCTGTTGCAGAGCATGTGCTTCCGCATCCAGAAGATGTTAGAAGCATATAGACCAGACTGGTGTGAGACCAGAGAGGACTGGTCTGTCTTCATATTCTCCCCACAGAACAAGTGAGTATAATCCTTCGCTCCACTTCTTGTTTTTCCTAATTACTCAAATCTGTTGTATTGAGTGCACTGAATGCAGAAGTGTTTGCTCAGCAGTGTGTTTTGTGCCATTTTGTAGCTGAAGTCAACAGCCTCCTGTAGGAACAATATTGGCTGGCCACAGGATGTATCTGACCAAAACTATATTAAGGATGAGTGGGGAAGACTGTTCCCCAGCTCATCAATAGGAAGCACAAGTTGCCAAGCTTCCACAGAGAGGGACTACATTAGAGTATTGATTGCCACCTTGCAAATTGCAAAGTGATATTTTCTAACGTCTTCCCTCCTGTTAGAGAGCAAGAAACAGGCCTCAGGGGGTAAATTAAATACCATAGACTATTCATTAAATTCTGCATTAACAGTTACAATCTGCAGAAGAAGACACACCTGAATATTTAAATAAAAGGCATTTAAATGTCCCTGTGTGTTCCACAATGGATTAAAATAAATTCAGTCCCTCACCTAGTTGATTCTATCTGTTTCTTTGCAGCCGTTCCAATAAACACTGCAGCGGAGGTATTTAATTGTTTTTGGCAGCACATGGTGTCACAATGCTAAAGTTTGAAACGCAGTATTTATATGCTCCATCTCTTGCTGGCTCTCTCTCTGTCTGTCTTTTTTCTTTGTTGTTTCTTCTGTTATCTCTCTATTCTGTTCTCCCAGCAGAGCACTGTACTCAGGAGTCTGATGCTTCTGAGAGTGTCATTAATCTAATTTGTTTTGAATTAGTAGTGATGTAAACAGGGGCTGAATGAGGCAACATACTCACCAAGATGTGTGGGAGCTCCCAGCACTGTCAAGGGACTTGGCTCCTATTCTGACTGGATAGAAGAGGGTTTTCAATTGTATTTGGACAGCATGTGGTCTCACTCTGCATATTTGGCTTAATAACAATGGCAGTAGTTAAGCTTCTCTTTTTACTTTCTTTTTTCTTCCCCCTCTCCTTTTACTCCAGGTTCAGACAGATATGCCAGTCTATTATAGCCCATAAGCTGTTTGACTATGTGGTGCTGGCCTTCATCTTCTCCAACTGCATCACAGTAGCTCTGGAGAGGCCCAAGATCCTGCAGGGCAGCTTGGTAAATCCATCTGAAATGTGTGTGCTTGTGTGTATGCTAGAAGCTACAGCTCCTGTGTGCCTGTTTTTGTGTGGCATTCTCCAAGGATAAATTTACTTTTATTATCTTAGAGGTGCAGTAAGTATGGTTTTACTACCCCTAATTACCCCATCTCCTCTTTCTGAATGACAGTCCTCTCTCTCTCTCTCTCTCCGTCCCGTTTGTCTGTCCAGGAAAGAGTCTTTCTCACCATCTCCAACTACATTTTTACTGCCATCTTTGTGGGCGAGATGACACTCAAGGTAACATTTTGCAACCTGTCTCAGTATTACTGCCAATGAGTCCTGAGTGTAGTGTGTGCAAACACTACACAGAGGCATATTTTTGTCTGTCTGTCCTCCCATGTCTGGCTGTTTTTCTCTCTCACAGAATTGACTTTGCCTCAGTGCTCCCACAGCCCAGCCCCTTCCTTTCCCTTAAATCTTGACAATTCCCATGTCCCTTTAGAGAACAGAGCAATTAAGCGATGTCATTAATTAGTGGCTAGTCTTCTTATAGATGCAGTTCATATCCAGCACTCCCCCACACTTTCCCCTCCTGTCCTCTCCGACGTTGACTGCTTCTTTTTTTAAGTCTGCTTCCACTTCCTTAAGGTCCCTATGTTCCCATCAGTCGTTTTTTTTATGCCAGTAATCTTCCTTTTTCTCCATCCTTCCTTTCTTTCATTCTCTCTCCCTGCCACTGTCTCTGTACTATCTGCGAAAGACTGTGGCACAAGTGGGCCATCAATTATGTACTCCCACAATCAATTATTAACCAATCACAGCTCGTCATGGAGCCACAGACTTGTCAGCCCCCTGGCCGAGCCTTACACGTCTCCTTCTGTGTCTCTGTCTGTCTGAGCCTCGTTTATCTCCATGTGTGTTTGTGTGGGTTGTTTGTCTAGCATTAAGCATCAGAACTGTGAACTCAAAATGCACTTGCAAGTGTTGGACATTCAGTTTGGCTGTAAGAGCCAGTTTACATTTAGCATTCAGACCAGAGATTATTTGCCAGACACTGGTCTTTCAACCATCTTGATATGTTTGCACTCTAACCCCCACAGTCCCTCCCGAGCTTTACATGACACTTGGCAAACAGCTTCAAATGTCAGTTGCAGATTTCTTTTTTTTTTCTTCAGCAACAATGCTCCCACTGCTGCTTAGCAAAACAATCCAGTGCTGGATTTCTCATTTTTGAACTCAGAATAATAAAGTGTCATCATATGTCAAATGTTTTCACGATAATCTTTGTACAAGCCAAACACAAAGGCAGTGGGACATTATTGCTGTACTATAATCTGCACACTCAATGTGCATTTGTGTCACTTGTGCGTGTGTGTTGTTATTTGCCTTAGATACAATTTACTGTGTGTGTTGATGTGTGTGCACATACAGTATGCGTGCCACAGATAAAGTCACTTTGTGCTCTGGGTGTGCTCCAGACAAGACATGTTGTTTGAAGAGGAGTGTACGTACAACTCTGTGTGTGCATGTGTGTTACAGCAGCCAGCTGATAACGTGTTTTTTGTGGATTTGTGTTTGGGCCTTCACATCTGTATATGTGTGTGTCTGTCTTCTTAGTTTGACCCTAACAAGACATTTTACACTCAGTCTTTTGTCCTACACCTACTTATGATGATGATGATGCTCTTTTAGCTTCACTGTAAACATAATGATAATTCACCAAATTATGCTGAAGTTTCCAAGTGTAGTCCATGGTCACATCTGCTGCTCCACCTTCGTTTTCTCTCATCTTCAGGTGGTGTCCATGGGCCTGTATATAGGTGAACAGGCTTATCTGCGGAGTAGCTGGAATGTTCTGGATGGCTTCCTGGTTTTTGTCTCTCTGATTGACATCGTAGTGTCCATGGCAGGTGGGGCCAAAATCCTGGGTGTTCTTAGAGTACTCAGACTGCTCAGAACACTGCGTCCCCTCAGGTATGGACAACGTATTGCAGGAGCTTTTTTTATATGTGCAGTTTTTTTTACTGTTACTGTTTTATAATCTCAACAGCAGACAGAAAATTTTGCCTTATCAATTAATTGTATCTAATGTAATTTTCCTTTGGGTTATACGGTAAAAAAATATATATAGAAAATAAGGAAAAGGTAAATATGTTCCTTCCATGTATGGTACTGTCTTTATTAAGATGAAACAGATAAATTTCTAATTTATTCAAGGTTTACTTCTTATCAGTGGCGGGCTGTGCATTTGGTACCTGGGCCTTCAGTGGGGACTTACCCAACTTATTTCACCTCTTAATACACCTCTATCAGGTCGCAATTATAGAAACTATCAATACTATACAAAAACGCAATATAACAAAGCCTGGCATTACAGAGAGAGAGGCATTTCGCGTATTGAGGATGAATACCATTTTTACTAAAGCAAGAAACGCAGTTAACTCCAAACCTCTACACTACAACCTCAACTGTGCCACATACATCATCTGGAGCAGTTCAGAATCAATATTTCTCTAATAACATGACAAAAACATAAAAAACTTAAATAAAATACATCATACTCACCAGAGATGCTATTTATTTATAGACAAAATCCATCCTCCTTTCTTTGCGCAGGAAGACTTCATTGACTCTGTCATAGAGGTGATCTCTGCGTTTCAGTTCCATCACTAAGTCCTTTTCTATAGCCATGGAAGTGGCGAACAAACCCTTTCCCGCGCTGAGACAAGGTAGCTAGCTTTGGAGCTGGCCGACCTTTCCTTGTGATGTCTAGCTTCTCTGGAAAAGTCCGCCTTGAAAATGGATTTTTAAGTATGTCCGAGACCAAGTCAATTTCTCCTCCTCTGTCAGCTATTGTGACGGTAAAAATTCTAACTCTAATGTATTAATGTGTGCAGATGGCTACAGATGTGTTTTGCTAGTCGAACCTGGCTGTAAGTTTTGCTCTGACCAACCAATCAGGGGACGGGAAAATGCTGACGTCACTGTAGGCCAGCTAGCTGGCCCTGTGAGGCGAATTTGAAATCTGATTGGTTAAAGAAACAGTCCCATTGCTAATATAGTTTAAGTTACATGGGCCAGCACTACTGATTCTGAAGGCCCTGGGCAGATTAGAGATTGACATGGCAACACATAGAGGCTGAAATCTGATTGGACAAAAAAATTTAACATCCAGATACACGTACTAGAAGCGCTGCAGCCAAGAGAAACACTACGAAATGAAGAGAATAGACTGTTGGGAATAAATTAATACAATTTCATGGAACAAATATTAGAATTTAGGTTGTAAATGTAGGTCAGTGCTTCTGATAGTGTTTAGGCCAGCAGAGAAGGCCTTGCTGGCCCTGACGGCCCACCACTGCTTCAAACATCATGTTTGTTCCCCTCCTCTGTCTGCTTCCCATTTATTGGTTTTCATTGTTCCTTTTCAGGGTGATTAGCAGAGCTCCAGGTCTGAAGCTTGTGGTAGAGACCCTCATCACTTCTCTGAAACCCATTGGCAACATCGTCCTCATCTGCTGTGCTTTCTTCATCATCTTTGGTATTCTTGGGGTACAGGTAGGAAACAGGGAAACACCTGACCTCCTATGGCTTTTAATGATACATAATGCATTCTTGCATTCATCATGTATTCAGTGGCTGCACAGCTTTGACCAGCTCACTACTGCACTCGAGAGCATCCTTTCATCTCACTGGAGGGGCCATGAATTTCTCTTTTTTTATGTAAACTGTCAGACTGCAAAACCTTGGTGTCATTGTTTTTCTGCTGGCAGCTGTTTAAAGGCAAGTTCTTCTACTGTTTGGGCCCTGATGTCAAAAACATCACCAACAAGTCGGACTGTCTGCAAGCCAAGTACAAGTGGGTTCACCATAAATACAACTTTGACAACCTGGGCCAGGTTAGTGTCATATGTGTTATCTTCACAGCTGGTGTGTATTAGGTGTATTAAAAGAATGTGTAGCAGCACATATTTAAAAGAAACTTTATTAAGTTTGAAAATATTATTTTATTTTTCATAAAATAAGGCTAACAGTGTTTCTTACCCTACTTGTCCCCTGTCCACTGCCGTGCAGGCTCTGATGTCTCTGTTTGTACTCGCCTCCAAGGACGGCTGGGTAAACATCATGTATCATGGTCTGGATGCTGTGGGTGTGGACCAACAGGTACCTGCATATCAGCTGCACAAGCTTCATGATTCAAATGTAAATCTTACAATTTTATCTGGCTAACTCTTTTTGTCCTTCCCTCCCATCATGTTTTGTTTCTTTCCTCCTCCTTTCACATCAAATCACGTCATGAACAAACACATCGCTTCAACCCCAGCCCGTGACCAACAACAATCCATGGATGCTGCTGTACTTTATCTCCTTCCTCCTCATTGTTAGCTTCTTCGTCCTCAACATGTTTGTTGGCGTGGTGGTGGAGAACTTCCACAAGTGCCGCCAACACCAGGAGGTGGAAGAGGCCAAGAGGCGTGAGGAGAAGCGTCAGCGGCGCATGGAAAAGAAGAGGAGGAGTAAGAGAGAGGACTGAGAGGAGAGGGTGTAGAGTAGGAAAGAGGTCCAAAGCTGTAAGGGAATTTAAAGAAACAGAGGTGGAGACTCGAGTAGAATGACAGAGGATAGAAGGAATGGGTCTAGTAAGAGAGGAAGAGGTGAGATGAAAATGAAAAGAATAGAGTAAGAATGATCAAATGCAAAATGATTAGCTACAGTGTTACAAAACACAACATGCCTTACAACAAGGTTCTGAATAACTAACATCTCCTCTATAGTTACTTTTACACATGACAAGTATGATTAATTTTTATAGCATCTGTAGCTGTGATCAACACTGATGCAAATTTACACTGTAGAAAGAAACACAGACAGATAATAATACGCTTACAATCAGCAAGTGTCATCATTTTTAATGTGAAGCTGCAATTTGAGAGTGTTTTCCTGTTCATAGTGATTTCAGCTTGATCAAAGGTTTTAAAATTTGCATTTCAAAGTGCTCACTGTGGACCAGGTATCCCCTGTAAAAATCCTCTGCTACAACGTGACAGTCTGTTGGACATCATCAGATAAAAGATCAGATGTGTTTAAATGCTTCATTAATTTATTTGTCTACCAACAGAAGCCCACAAGCTGCCCTACTATGCCAGCTATGGTCACGTGCGATTAATGATTCACACACTTTGCACCAACCACTACCTGGACCTCATCATCACCTTCATCATCTGCATCAACGTCATCACCATGTCCCTAGAGCACTACAATCAACCCCGTGTAAGAAAGACTGTTTACACTATCTGGTGTGCAACAGCGTGTGTGTATAAATGCAAATATCAGGTCCAGTTATGTATTGTATTTATATTTATGCACGCTTTTAGAGATTGTGCAGCTTAGCTCTCTTTTCCATAGAATATGCACAAAACAGACATTTTCTACATGTTGAGCTTTTATGCAGAGTGTTATTGTATCAAATTTTTGTTGCCGCTTTCTTGCACTACACTACAGTTTTTACATAAATCTTTCCTTTCTCAAAATAACAGCACCTTAAAAAAAGCACAGTAATCTCACTGACTGCTCCACCACCATAATATCCAGTCTCTGCAGCATGTGTTGTAAGTAGATGCAGTCCCTTCAAAGAAGCTGTGATTGCACTTTTTGCGGGCTGTTGTCAGGGTGGTGTTAGCTGTACAATACATGTATCTGCCTGTTTGTGTGTGATGAATGGAGGTTCAAAGCCTGATAGTGATTTTGTGAGAGACACAAAAATGATTATCCTTGAGATAAGATGCACATTTGACCTTTAAAATGGGCTAAGCTGACCGTGCATCAGATAAATATCACAGGTCTTGGCTCTATTTGTCAGCTGTTGCTCTTGACATTTAGCAGCCTCCCACTTGTTAGAAGCTACAGCTCCTATTAATGAAAGGAGAAAACAGCTGGAAGATAATCGCTGGTCTCTTCAGTGGTAGGAATGTGGACTGGATGTTTAAGACAGTTAATACTTGCTAGCTTCTGGAATATCTGCTTAAAAATATCTTTGTTATGCGACATTACAGTAAGTGCGTTTGTGGTGCTGTGAGTGGAGGGGGCTCAGCCTTTGCCTCTGGCATGTTTGGTTTTGCTCAGCAAACACTGGGAACAGCACCGGCTCTGTGTTTTCTCCTGATGCTGCAGAATCTTCACTCTACCCCGTCACACATGCACAAACACACACGCCCTGTTTCTGCTCTCTCCTTCCAGTCACTGGATCTCGCCCTGAAGTACTGCAACTATTTCTTTACCTCCACTTTCGTGCTGGAAGCAATACTCAAACTCATCGCCTTTGGCTTTCGCCGCTTCTTCAAAGACAGGTACAGTGTGTGTTTACTGTGTATCTCGTGTTGGCAAGGCGGTTGCGTGTTGTGTTTCCCTTTCTGTCTGCATGGAAGTGTATCTATGCTTATTTAGAGCACAAGGTGCAGATGTAGATTTGATAATCTGCTGCTCAGAGGTGGACTGTGCTGACCTGAAGGAAAGCAGCATGATGACTGCCAGTCACCTTTTCTTGTGGCCTGAGAACACAAGCACCCTTTGAATTAGATACCACAAAATGAGCTTGATATTTCAAGAGTTTGATTTTTGTTAGTTCAGGTAAATCACTTACTGTATCACATATTTCATGTGAAAAAGTTAAACATTAAAACGACTATTGTAGCTCTATGCACATGCCATAATCTCTTGAATTAACATATTAATGATGCCACATTAAACAGTTGTTTAATCCAAAATATAATGGCTGTGCAGAGCCACATTTTGCTTTGAAACAGCTTTACCAATATACAGGATTTTGAAATATATGAGCTGGCATTCTGGTGCAAAATTATTATACATTGCTTCTGTCAAAGAAAATGTCAATGACCTCACTTTCCTTTATATTAATTAGCTTTGATTGCCAGTGCCAAATCTTTTCTTCCATTAGTCCCTCAAGTTATTCCATATTCCATAATGCAGTGCAAACTATAATCTATGTACAATGAATAACACTTTCATTTAAACTGAGTGTGACAGCCCTATCATGAGGATATTGCTTAAAATAATTTAGGTATAACTATGTAAAAAAGTTTAACTAAACCATCATTCAGCTCAAATTCTAGTTACGACTGCTCTTTAAACTTGTCGCCCTTACTGTAAAGACCTTTATGTGACCTCGACGGGAAACACATTTCAACACTGGTTCACACTCACATTTATTCACTCAGAGCCCAGACTAATAGATCTGTCACTCACCTAAATGTGCACGGTAATGAGACCGTTTTATTCTTTCAGTGATATGTGGTGGCTAATTAAAGGCAGAAACAGATTTATATTACACTGATGGTAGTTTAATATCATTGACCTACTTTAGTTAGTGAAGTGAAAAAAGCAAGAGAGTGAGAGTAAGAAGAAAGTGATAGAATAAGGTAAGGTGACAGAGAGACAGACACGCACATGAGGGAAGAGACGGGTAATATATCGGAGGGGAAACTGGACTGATCAAAGATGAAAAAGAGAAAATGAGTGATGATGAGATGAGAAACAGATGGACAGACATAGAGAGAATTTGTCATGAGGATCTCAGCTGGTACTTTGTCTCTTTTTGTGTAGTGTCAGCAACATCCGTCAGCAGTCAGTGTGCATAGTGTGATTTATAGGCTGGAGTGACTCTCAGGCCAGATTTACCAGGTGAGCTAGATGAATTACTCAGATCCCTTACTTAAGTAAAAGTAACAATACAGTTGTGTAAAAATACTCTGTTACAAGTCAAAGTTCAAAAAAAATACTCTGTTACAAGTCAAAGTTCAGAACTCAAAAAGTTCAAAGGTTTTAGCATCAAAACTTATGTAAAGTACTTAAACATACAGTACAAGGACTCATTATGCAGAACAACACATACATCATATCGTATACATGTATACAATATGATTTGATTATAATTACTGATGCATTATTGTGTTCATTACATTTAATGTTGCAGCTGATGAAGGGGGAGCTGGTTTTAACTAGCATGCAGTACAAGCTTATAGTCTGAATTACTGCTGGGTAGCTTGTGAATTTTCCACCAGAGATCAATAAAGTCTTATGACTGTACTTTAATTTTTGTCCTTTTATGGTTCTGAAAAGCAACTAGTGACTAAAGTTATAAAATACATGGAGTGATGTAAAAAGTACCATTGTTGCCTCTAAAATGTAGTGAAGTCAAAGTATGAAGTAGCACAAAATGAAAATACTCAAGTAAAGATACCTCAAAATTGTACTTAAGTCAAGCACTTGAGTAAAATGTACTTAGGTATTTTCCACCACTGGTATCTACTGTTTAATATCTCAGATATGATGCACACCTTATTTACCATATTTACCATTTCTCACACAGTTTTAAGCCCACCCTCACGATTTCACCAAAGATGTGTATTTGTTGAATTGAACCTTTATTGACATTGTGAGTACAGCAGTTTTTTAAGCAATTCATACAGGTCATACAAATAAACAAAGTGGTGTAGTGTTATCAGGACAGAATACTTGCCCTTAGGTCAGATGGTGCAGTGATGTGGCAGCTTCAGACTCTTGGATTCTCTACCGTTTTCATTTGATTTGGTAATCTGTTTCCCATCTGTCCTCCTTAGAAAGAAATTTTCTGGCAAGCATGTTGCTGCACATGAAGGATTTCTTAAGGGCTTTTGGACCTGAGGCACCGTAGAAGTGTGTAGATCTTAAGTGAGAATAATGTGTTGACAGCATGGGTGGATTATGAGGCAATGGGCCACTGGGCACAGACATGTAAAAGGCCTCTTACCTCTCTGACACTTTCAGGAGCAAGACTTCCAAACTGAGCATCCACATCAGTTTTTGTTCATTTCACATTTTTGTAGCTATATATTTCTATTTTTAGCCAGTTTGTGTTAAGTTTTACTTGTTCTGCATCTCCTTTTAGCTGTTTTGTGTCTCTTTTTGTTATTTGGTATATTGTTGGAGTCATTCTGATGTACGTACATTGAGACACATTGAGAGCTGCTGTACCAGAGTCAAATTCGTCGTGTGTCCAGCACACCTGGCCAATAAAGCTGACTCTGATTTCTGTCTTCTTCTAATTATTTTGTCTCTTGTTTTGGTAGTTTAGTAGTTGTTTGACTCACTTTGCAACAGAAAAGGTAGCTGTCTCTTCACAGTCCCTTGGTTCAGGAGCCCCCTTGGGCACCAGGCCTATGCGTGGTAGGCCCGTTCGGTAAACCATCCATGGTTGGCAGGTAGCTGATGATTAACTACAATACATGTCAACGTCTATAATCAGGAATCCTTTAGTGTTTGTACTTACAGCAGGAGTCTGCTCTACTGAACAGCTGTATTTTAAATAGAATAGAATAGAACAGGAGGTTAAACATCGTCTTTTCATCTGTACATGTTTGCCTACAAACTTGTTAGTATGCCAGTATGTATTTTGTGTTTGGATTTGCTTTGTGTGTGGTTCAATTCCTTTGTGGACCTTCCACCATCACATCATTGTGTGTGTGTGTGTTTGCGCATGTGCTAGGTGGAACCAGTTGGACCTGGCCATTGTGCTTCTGTCGGTGATGGGCATCACCCTGGAGGAGATTGAGATCAGTGCCGCGCTGCCCATCAACCCCACTATTATAAGGATCATGAGAGTTCTGAGGATAGCACGAGGTACGAATACTATGTGTGTATAAGACACACACTCACCTGTACAGTCCAGCCCGTACTTCTTCTAAATCCTTTCAGTGAAATAGACCATCGGGTTGTTAAATGTGACTTAACATTACGCTTCTGGGCCCGTACTCCCCCAGACCCACATGACGAAGCCTGTCACCCTCTACACTAGGGGTGTGTGATATTGTTAAAGATAAATATACGATATTTTTCATCTACCACAAAAAATATGTTTAAGTCTCATACTGGAGGCTATAAGGTCACTCTTGTCAATAGCATATTAATTAGTGATTACTCATAATATTAATGGAAACAATATATATTAATCTGCTTAAAATTGAAGTGTTCAAGTACAACAGTACCACACTGAAATCAGTCTTACAGAATGACTCTGCTCATGTTTGCTGGGTGTGTTCTTGTTTTGGTACCTTGGCTGGTTTAGTCCTGTCCTGGACAGCTTTTCAGCTTAATTTGTGGCGCAGCGATGTCAGCCTACATGTTCCGTGCACTGTCATGCACACGGGCAAAAGTCTATCTAACTAAGCTACATGACGTAGGGAGTGTGTAGACTCTCACATGCTTTTGAATGTTTTTGTAAAGTGAGCGACAAACTCGATAATGCCAACTGGCACATTATCTATACCACTTATCCTGAAGAGGGACACTGGAGCCAATCCCAGCTGACACTGGGCGAGAGGCGGGGTCCACCCTCGACAGGTCGCCAGTCTATCACGGGGCTGACACTTTATTTTTAGTTAATTTAAGAATACTGTGACCTAATCAACTGTAGCTATTTCTTTTTCTCCTTCCCATCGCAAGGCAAGCATTAAAATGACAGCTGACCCAATGACAACTCACCAGTTAACAGATTGACTTGGTCTTACTGGTGTGTTAGGATAATATTTGCATAATATAACAGCTGTCCAAAGTGCTGTTTTTATGTATACACGTGTATGAGTTTGTTTGCATGTGTTAGTGTTACATGGGGCATAAATTAAGACCTGACCTTTCCACACTTTGTTTCCCATTTACTCTGTAATTGGACCTCAGGGATTTCCCCCAAATGCACACACTTACTGTAAACTCTGTCTCACTCATGCACAGTGCTGAAGCTGCTGAAGATGGCGACAGGAATGAGAGCCCTGTTGGATACGGTGGTCCAAGCCCTTCCTCAGGTACACATTCACACAATGTCTCTCCTGTTTCCTCACAGACACGCACTATGTGTTAGCCAGAGTCGTACGAGCCCATGCACCTTCTCTTTCTCTGTTGGCCTGTAAGCAGCTCTAGGTGACTCATTCATGCCACAGACTGGTGACTGGCACACTTGCATATAAATATACACTCACGCCAGCTTTGTCATGTTTTCACTTTCAGCACCATGGAGAATACCCAGGCTCCCGCTGAAACCATGCTGTGCTAGAATCAGTGGTGGCTGCTCAAACCAGATCCTTTGCTGGTGAACAGTTAGAAGGCTTCTAGGCCGTCCCATTTCAAAGCCCTAAAAACTTATCAGAACGCTTCTTTGTTCATTATTTGTACTGACTGCAAGTTGTTTTCAGCAGCATTAATGTAGAAATTAGAAATAAACTAGGACACAACGGAAAAAATGTCAAATGAAATTATTTATTTACATTTTGATATTTATTTACATTTAAATTATACAATTGCACTTACAGTCTATGTCTGTCGTTTTTATGTGCTGCACTGCCGTCATTCCTACTGAATAACGTGTGACTGGCTGAATTTCTGCAGCCTGCTACACAACATACTGTAATACAACGGATTTTAACCTGTGTGCGACCCTCTGCTAGGACATAATGATTTTACGCCCCCATGCCCAGAATGTCACAGTTTAGGAGAGTGTATTATCCCAGTCACAATATTTAATTTAACAAGGCAGCCTGCTTTTATGTAAAACTGGCTGCTGTCTCTGGCTCCATCCTGTTCTCTCTGCTGGACACACACCTGCTCTGCTGCAGAGGAGCTGAAGGTCTCAGCCTCCAAGTCCACAATATTTCATACACACAGCTCATTTGACGTCGCCGATAACTACGTAAAAGTTAGTGTTTGCTTTGTTCCCGTTCACAACAGTTCATTACAATCACAGTGTGAACAGCATTTCTGCAAGTTTGCTGTTGTGTTCTGTTTCTTCAAGAGGTGTGCGATTAATTACTCTCTCCTTTTCTGTTGGTGTTGTTGTAGATATCGAGTGTTGGCGTCTGTGTAAAGTGTGACCTCATGCCTACGTGTCTGTGTGAGAAGGGGAGGGAGGGGCCCTCTCACACACACACACGTACACACATACACAACAGAGAAGCTGAGCTTGCAGTTGGCTTCACTTTGTTGTCGGCACTTATCTTAAAATATCCCTGAACCACTGAAATTTCTTCTCTTCTGCCTAATGCATACACAACAGAGAAGCTGAGCTTGCAGTTGGCTTCACTTTGTTGTCGGCACTTATCTTAAAATATCCCTGAACCACTGAAATTTCTTCTCTTCTGCCTAATGACCAGCTCAGCCAGCGTGAGGTTAATGTAATGCCACCATTAATTGGTATCAGTGGGACAACTTTTACAAGTATGAGTAGAGTACTAGAGGATGGTATCTGACCCAATACTGGTATCGGCATTGGTGCATCCCTACTTTTAACAGACTATGACAAAGGCCACAAGATGAAACACAATGGACTTGTTATTCTAAAGTTATTCTATGCTCTGCAAGTGTTGCTTCAGTTTTGACCTTTTCAGTTTAATGCTTTCTCTTAAAACCTTGTCCTCACACATACAGTATATTACCTGCTCACATGCCGAGTCGCTTTACTTGCATTTCAAGCCCTGTTTCTGGCGCCAGCGTACACCACAGACACAAGAGTGGTATCAATCTTCTCAACTAACTCGCAGCAAATAAGTACATTCCCCTAAATGTTAAACCGTTCCTTTAACAAAAGGCAGCTATCTAGACAAATAGATTCAGTTCTGGCCTGCTGACCATCAAAATAAGATGCAGCAAACAAAAGGAAACAGGTGGCGTGGTGAAAGGAGGGCAGACAGAGCCTAGGGAGAACAGATTCCTTGTCTTTCCTTTCTATTGATCCCCCGCTCATTAACACTGAGCCCTTTGCTCTATCCCAAGGGCACCAGAGGAGGTAATTAAAACTTGGGGTAGTTAAACAGTTCTAGGAGGTTTATCTGTGTCTGTGTGGGTGTGTGTGTGTACGTGTATGGGTGTGTGTTGATATCGAGGTCCTGAAAGAGTGAGAGTGCTACACCTGGTGAGAGATTTAACCTGAGGCCATATCATGTGATATTTCACATTGAAAATGAAGTGGCAGCCTGCCAGCTCTTCTTCATTACATCACTTTGGATATTGAGGACAGAACTGACATTTCTCTGGGACACAGCTGAACAAAGGAATAAGCAAGTTCACTGCTATTGTTATAAGAAAGCAAGAAATATGATTAAAACAATCATGGCGCACAGCAGACATCTACTGTATATGTCTGCTGGAGTCATTATTTATTAGATTAAATATGATGTGAAAGATTCACAAGTTCCACAAGCAGTTTATGTATCTAACAGGCCATGAAGGAACATGGAGATGTAATGAAGGCTCTCTACTGGATGCTTACACTACATGAATGGCTAAGCTTAATAGCCCATTGGAACGTTAAGACAAATGCGTTTTCATGGCTTGTCTTTACAAGGATGCAGTAAGTCAGAGTCATTTTATCCACAAGTATCCTCCGGATCCTCTCCTCCCTGACTGATGCAAAATGGCTGCAACACATCGTTCGCCAACACTAACGGCCTGTATCATGTTGGCCATGAGTCAGTCCAGTTGTTTTATATCTTCCCGGGGGATGGATGGGGAAGCTTCAGCCCAGCCTTTGGCAGATGTGGACACCACACGGAGCGCCATCTGGGCTTTAGGGAGGCATCCTTGTCAAATGATTTGTATTTAGCTTTAGAAAAAATGTGATGCTGATGTCTGTCCACCTCAAATTAAATCATCGGAACAATAAAAGACAACTGAGTCTGTGCATCCTGTGGATCCCACATAGACTCAGGCCATTATGAAACCAAGCTTGTAAAGCACTCCAGCCAGTAACTTAAGGCAAACCCCACAAATACCACATCTATGATTATTACAACCCTCCAAATGAAAGGTTGTATAGCAATTACTTCCATTAGTTTCAGTCCAGAGGGAGTCATCAGGCTGTAATGGGGCATATTTGCCTACATAAAAAGTCTATTTTAATATTTTATAATGTACATTATGTTAAATGCATGCAGATATGTTTCACCTTCTTTTGCAGTTCTTGCATTAAATGTAGAGTTGACTTGCTTAACATGGACATAGGCCAAAAAGGCAAATCATGTCAGACCATTTAAGCTTAAACCTTTGACAGCATTTAAATGTAGGTAATTACATCTCGCTTTTCTCCCATCAGTAATCAGTGTAGTGAATTTTTAATGAGGGGAAAAAGACACATAAGCCAAGCTATTTAATCCCTGAGTATAAAAGAGATGATTTTAATAAATGCAATTCCACATACAATTTGGGGGGAGGGGTCCATTTGAAAAACCATTATAGTTCAATTTAATCTAACCAAAATTCAACCACCATCACTGTCGTTTGCCTTGGCTCCTATTTTCTGAGTGCCTTCTCTCCAAACTCTCCTTTTCACCATGGTTTTTCTTCTACAGCTTTCTACAGATCCCATCTTCAGCCTCTGCCACCGTTATCTCAACATATTTTTAATTTGAGACAATTTGCAAAACGGCTTCATATCCCTGTAATGGGATTATATTTTACCCTCAAGAGTCATCATCATCATCATCATCACCATTAAGTTGTGGTAACAGAAGGCTGTTCTTGGTGGAACTGAGCCAAGCCACAAAACCCCAGACTGAAAATTTTATAACTGCATCAGGGGTTCAGTTGTATAAGTCTCAGAGGAAGTCGTGCTATGGTTTGCACAACCAAGCACTGTGATATGGAAGAGGCACACTAGAAACACATTGGATGCACACCCATTACTTGTTGTACTACATTTTTTGCTGATTTGTATGTTTAACAACAAAGGCTAATTTTTCTCCAAAGCATTATTATACTGTATATAGTGACTTAGAACTACATTTCTATTCTGAAAATTATAAGATTATATTTGCGCTGTTCAAAAATCTTGCTGTGATTTTAAGATGACTAATTTTAATTGTAATTTATACTACAGTTGATTTATAAATGGGGGTTACTGTGGTTCAGTGGGTGGAGGGTTGGAGGTTCAAATCATGGTTCCTGCAGTCCACATGTCAAAGTGTCCTTGGGCAAGACACTGAACCCCCAAGTTACTCCTGGTGGTTAGAGCCATCGGTGTAAGTTGGCGCTGCAGATGGCTGCCTCGGTTCTGTACCGGAAACATATTCCTTCTGTGTGTAACGTACTTGGCCAAATAAAGGTGATTATCCTGATATAGTTTTTAAGCGAGCAAACAAAGCATGTCTGTGGCTCATTTATTACAGGTACAATTAGAAATCACTTTATTGTGTGAAGACACTTTGACACATATATTGGTTCTAGGATTATGTCTCATGATGCTGCTTAGGGAGTGCTTTGTCACTCCTAGATGCTAGAATGTTGTCAAATGGTCCATGACGTGCATGGTAAGTTTTTTTTTTTCTGTGTGTGTGTGTTGCAGGTGGGTAACCTGGGCCTGCTGTTCATGCTACTGTTTTTCATCTACGCCGCCTTAGGAGTAGAGCTTTTTGGAGAACTTGGTGAGTGCACGTGACATCTAGTTGTAATGACAGAGAGGGTTACTGTATGTCACATAAAACCTTCTTAACAATTAAATATTCATGGTTAAGCAAGTTATGTAAGACAATATTTAGAGGTTCTCTACAAAGAGAATCAATATGCTAATTTTGTGGCTGATTATTGATGAAAAGTCTTCTAAAGACTCAAGGGAACCAAGATTGTGGTTTATAATTTTATCAAGGGACACTTGACACAAATTACAGTAAAGGCAAGATCAAGTTTATTGATGCTTTGTTGATATATTTATTTTTTTATATTAAGTTATTTATTTATTTATTTTGAGCTACCTAATTGGACATTTAGGCTAGTGGAACTGGAAAAAGTAAAAAGGGGATTCTATAAAGCCATGACTCCTGCTTCCCATTGGTTTTTAAATGGTTATTGTCTGCAGAAGACTCTCCTGCAAGATTTCTGGTTTTGAACAGATTTTCCTTTAGCATCTTCAGTATCTCTGTGCTAACCTGAAAAACTTTAAGACACTGTAGCCAATCTTATTTCTGGCGTGAAATGGAATATACGGCATACTGCATGGATACCGTATATTCTGTTTCAGTATGTACATGCTGTAAGTTCTTCTACTAATTAGAATAATCCTTTGGTCATATACATGATATGTGGTAATGTGGTGAAAGGATCATCCTTGAGCAAACTATCCACACATCACCACTATAAGTGTAAGACAATCAAAAACCAAGATACACAATGTCAGTATTTTCCCTAATGGGCAAAAGTATGGCTTTGAGGTTTTGTGCACTCATAGTGAACTCAGCTTGAGCGCATAAAAGCACAAGGACTTGTGTTAACTTTATTATGAGAATCTCCTTATTTTCTTTCCACACTTCATTCCTTTTCATCGGTCCTGTCTCCTGCAGTCAGACAGCCATTAGGGACTCAACCCACTCTCCCATATTCTGATACATAAGTACTGTCCTAAAATATCCACATTGAAGTTGGAAGATATATCTTCCAAACTGTCACATTTCCCTCGTGTGCTGTAGCTGTAGCCAGTGGCAACATTGCTTCCTATTGGAGCTTGGCAGGAGAAAGGATTAGTGGCAAATGCAAGTCTGGCTTTTCTGAAAGCCACTCCAAAGATTATCTTGCGATAAAAGCTCAGACAAACACAATGTTTGGTCACATTGCTCATTTGATAACATGCTGTGTCTATACTGAGTTGGCTTGTTTGGACAGTCATCCAGGCAGCTTATCGATAGACATGGTGCATTGTTTACAGAAATGTTCACTGTTCACAGGTCCTCTCTTCTGCTTTTGTTTTCTTTTTTTTGGCCTTTCTGTAAGATTTTCTCCTTATCCTCTCACCTCTGTAATATCTGTGACCTGATAAGTTCCTCTCTCTTTCCTTCCTCTCCTGCTTCTCATCCTCAGTTTGCAATGAAGATTACCCATGTGAGGGTATGAGTCGTCACGCTACCTTTGAGAACTTTGGCATGGCCTTCCTTACCTTGTTTCAAGTATCCACGGGCGACAACTGGAATGGCATTATGAAGGTACAAAGTTGCATTCATCTGGACACTCACAGCATCAGTGCACAGGGTAATAGACTCATTTAATTTGTGTTAGAAAAGAAAGAATAACAATTAATAAACAGCGAGAGAACAGACTGAAGAGATACAAGCGGTAAATACCTGCTTCGTTTCTCACAGCCCTCCTATCTTCCACTCTAGCGATGCTTACTGATGACATGGAAATGTGCTTGCTCAGCAGTGGGAGCACAGATTTCCTTTCTGATGTGCATGGGAGTTACTGTGCCTCATTGCACACACACACACACACACATACACACAAAACACCAATTTCCCATGATCACACATCGACTACCAGCAGCAGCTATCACCACTCCTCCACACACAAGGGCTGCGAGGGGAATAGAGATTATGCTGGAGCATGTCGGGCATAGACCATTAAACACCACACTGGATCTCGGCAGTGGGGATGGTAGTGGGCCGCGAGTACGCCAGAGGGCCACAGATGCTACCTCTCTGTCATTTTATCCATCAAATTACTACCTGGGCTGTAAGAGAGGTAGACCTGCTTTGGTTTAGTAAGAGCAGGTGAGGCAGAGTGGCAATTAATCATGCAGTGATGATAGGGAGGAGAGGAAATAATGAGGGGATGGAAAATGGGTAAGGGGAGAAAAGGTGGCAGCAGCGAGCCGTAATAAGAGACAGGATGAGAGGAAAGGAAAGGGGTTAAAAGTACTGAGCGGTTATTATGCTTTCTCCTCTCTAGAGGGAAAATTAAGGCAAAAGTGAAAAATGGAGAAGAGGTTGACAAAAATGGAGAGTTGGATGACTAAAGAACAAAAATATGTAAAATAAAATGGAAATGGAGTGACGGCAGAAAAAAGGAGCCATTTAGTGAAGGAGCGCAGCACGTAAATGTCGTGCCAAATTAGATAGAAAAGACCAGCTTCAGCTCAGAGGGGTACAGTTGTTATGTGTGGTCACAGCCTGGGTGAGATCCTCCAGAAAACACTTGTCACTTTCATTCTGCTCTGACTGAAACCCGCTGTGTGCATGTTAACCAGGGAATAATGCTCCAGAGGAACAGAAATGGCTTCTGATGTCTTGCATAAATGCTAAAGACATAATTATATGATGATTATAGAAGTTGTCATGAATACAAAGAGCCTTTTAAACAGGAGCAGCTTGTATTCTATTATCTAAAACCTACTTTTTAAAGCAAATTTTTATGTGAATACCAATTTAATACAGTGTGGGTGTGGTTGAGCGTGCAGCAATGTACATTGTGTAAAACACAATGTAAAATGTAAATATTTATGTATGCTGGTTTTTTTTTTCCTGTAACAAAAACAACACAAACTATAGCTTCATAAATTAAAAATGAAATCAACACCTTTCACCAAAAATAGAATGTTAAAAAATCTCACAAATGTAGAATTTATCTTGGGGCTGCTGCATTGGATTTCACATATGTTATGTTTGTGTAAATTTGCACACTTTCTGTGTCTTCACAATGCTCTTTCCAGAAAACATGGTAGCCTTGCTTATCTGTTTTGTCTCTTTGACTGTCCCCTCTCACCTGACCCTCCTTCCCCGCCTCCTGACCAATGCTGTCGTCATCTTCTGCCTCTGTGACATAAGGACACATTGCGGGAGTGCCCACCAGACCATGGCACTGATGTGGACTATGCCTGCAATCCAAGCCTACAGTTTATCTCGCCCATGTATTTTGTCTCCTTCGTGCTCACCGCCCAGTTTGTGCTCATCAATGTGGTGGTGGCCGTGCTGATGAAGCACCTGGACGACTCCAATAAGGAGGCCCAAGAGGAGGCGGAGATGGATGCAGAAATTGAGCTGGAGCTGGCCCAGGGCACCCTCTGTTGTATGGGCACCCCCGGCTGCGGCGGTGGGGGGTTGGAGAAAGGACTAGCTGTTGCTGGAGGAACAGCAGTGGGAAAGGAGAGAGGAAGTGCTAGAGGAGAGAGGGGAGAAGGAAAGACAAGACACACAGCAGCTGCTGCACAACAAGGACCATACAACTCCCGTGACTCCAGCCGGACCCTGTACTCACTAGCACAAGTGAGTGCGTGTGTGTGTGTGTGTGTGTGTGTGAGGGAGAGAGAGAAAGAGAGAGAGAGAGAGCATGAGTATTCTTGTTTATTTTCTGATAGTGTGAAAGTTTTGAATGATTGATGGTTGATTGTGGGTGTGTTGGTGCTTACTTGCGTCTGTAGGTACGGATGTCTGGAGCCAGGCTGCTGACGTTTATAGAAAAAGATGCATCATTCATTTTCTGATCCTTGTTTTATGTATCTTAGATGTTACCTAGCTGTATGGTGTAAGCTGTAATCGGCCACTATGACACCAAGAACACTATAGCATATTATAAGTATGTGTAAAGCATGATGCAGGCCAAAAATTGTCACTTAGTGATTCAGCTGTAAGTCTTTTCTAAACCTGTAATTTGTTGTAATAGTTGCTTTGATCATTTAATGGCTGAGAATGAGGTAGATTGGACACAGTATTAGAAGATACTACATAATGAAGGATTAGGGGCAAAAATCGTAATCGTAAGAGTTCTGTCTGTGTCTCTGCAGCCTTGTTTCTCTTTACACAGTGCATTAGTTCCTGCAGAGAAAATCACATATTTGATGCACAACTCGAAAGAATACAAGAGAGGTCAACAGTTTCTGTACAGTGTTTGAATAGCGTTGACATGGAAGAGAGCTGAGAATCACTGCTTTATTATTGGGGAGGAAACTGACTGACAGCCACATGGTGTGATAACACAGTCATTTCACTGATTTCTCTGTACAGACTGTTTCTACTATTGTTCGTTTTCTTTGCCAGATTTTTCAAAAAGGAAGCGATTGCAATCAAGGTTAAACTTTTACACTTAGAGAAGAAAGAAAACAGATAAAAGGAACAAGAAAGAGACACTAATCTGTGCCTTAATCATAACATAAGGTGGAACTGTGCTACAAAACCGATTAATATGAGTTCAAAAGACACTATGGTGGATTCAAAAGCATTATCCAAAATTAAACTATACTAGCAAAGTGATATTAGACAGATGATAGTCAAAGCTAGGCCATAAATTTTCATTTTTCAAACTGTCTTCTTTCATCGTAGTCATAGCAACCATGCTGTCAGCACCGAGATGAGCAATGTTAATCACTTACTCATTTAAGCTTTTTTTCATTTAAGCCTTATTAACCTTTCAGTACTCACATGAGACTACATGAGTTTGCAGATGGACGTGCACAGGTTTAATTTTCGAACTGATTTCGCTGCCTACATCTGTGTGCGTAGATGGGATCTCATTTCTACTCGCAGTCTGACAGCAGAGACACACGCTTCTATTATGAAACCACTAATGATAGTCTGAGATAGCCACGCAGAAACACACCGCTGATGACTCATCGACTGCCATGAAGAGTTTCACCTTTGTAGAACTAAACTTGGCTGCATGGAGCAATTTTTAGCTCAGTGTTGGCTGACAGAGGGACTTAATTCAGACTAGGGAGAACGCACAGCTTCCTCCCCTTTCGCCCTCAGTCTCGCTCTCTCTCATTCTCTCTCTCTCAAGTGATGCAAGAAGGGATCTGGCAAACCAGTGCAGTTTAATTAGAGCACAGGTCCTGTCATTCAGTGATCGCACCCCACTAATTCCTCATTCAATCAGCTGCCAATGTACCAAGGCAAGTGTGTGTGTGTTTGTGTGTGTACTGTACACTGTGGGGGCTAGTTTGAGTTTTACACCATGGGAGTAAGGACATTTTAACAGGTCCTCACTTTCTGACACTCGTTAAAAGGGCTATTTAAGACTTTCTTTTAGGGTTAAGGTTTAGAATCAGGCTTAGGTTAGAGTCAGATGGGGTTAGGCATCTAGTTGTGATGGTGCAGGTTAGGGTAATGGGCTAATGCATTATCTTAATGGAGGGCCTCACTAATATAGCTCCTCCAAACATTTATAAATCTCATTGTCATAACCTTAGCAGCACGTTTTACAGTGATTTTACATTTAGGTAGGTAGGTAGGACTTTATTGATCCCACAATGGGGAAATTCCTGTGTTCCAGCAGCGATAGAAAGCAGCAACAAAACACCATAAGAACAAACACCACACACAGATCTTGAGAAACAAATTCCAAAGTACCTAAAACCAAACTGAATATAGTATTTGAGAGAGATCAGTAAAATCAAGGACAAGAATATTACTCCCATAATTAATCCCGCAATGGGGGAAATACCTGTATCTCAGCCATGAGGATCTCTGAGAAACTACTCAAAAATACCTAAAACAAGACAATATAAAGTATTCGAGGGAAATCAATCACACATGTGCATATTTACAATGCATTTTACCCCCAGGATTAGAGTATTGCACTTCAGTTGACCATTGCTTAGTCCCTCATAATTTCACCTATCTTATCACTGCAGTGATGTATTTACAGTAATTTATTTTCTTTCATATAAAGAGGCACAAGCCAATTAAAAAATTAAGCGTGTTAATAGATCAGATGAGATTTGATGATATACAAGGAGTTCAAAATAGATTGTAGCTATGACAGTATATGCTTTTAAGTCACACTACACAGTAAAAAAAAAGGGGGGGGGGGGGCACTTTTACCTGTATAGGGAACAACAGG